ATTATTATCTTCTATCTCAAGGTCTGGTTAATACTGAATAGCATTAACGTTTCTGGCTAAAAATAATATATCCATGATGTTTACACAGAAGGCCCAAGTTCTCCTGTGCTAGTAAGTTACTGATGTTTGTTACCTTGGCTTATAAAGGTGTTACCACATCTCAGTAGTTACCCTGAATTACCCTTAATTTTTCAATAACTGAATTAGTTTTGTTATAAAGTATTTCTCAGAGTCAGTTGGGTGTTCTGTTTGTTTTTGTTCTCTGGTTTAGATTTCATATATCTTTCTTTGCTTGTTTGTTATCTCAGGTTCTTTTGCTATGTTTAGCTTAGCTGACTGGGGAGAGACTAGTACATGTTTGATTATAGAACATAAGCATTTCCTGATGGCTGCAGACGATCCTTCTTATAAAGGTGCCAATGACTTTCTTACACAGTGAATCAGATATCTTAGAGACTCTGTCTGTACCAGTCGTTAGCCATGTGTATGGCAGCGAGACAGATTTTAATATACTATGGAGTAGAATTTTAATGGCCATGTGTGAAACTTTTTCTTCATTAAGTTGCCTTTTGTTGATTAAAAGAAAAGACTTCCTTTCAAAGATGAGTAGCGTGCAGAGAATTTAACAGCGATAGTCCTGCTGACTGGATTTGATTGTCATTGGTCTCAGGCCCTGTTTAACTCATAGCACTTTATCAATGAGCAGACTTTTTTTCTGTTACTTTAGGTTTCTCTTAAGGTTGAGACTAATACAGGAATGTCTCTAATATATTTTACAACTTAAGACTATAAGGTCAAAATAAAGCGTTTTCAATCCTTTTATATGTGACTTTTGCCATTAACTAAGGACAAATTTGCTAAGTATTCCATAGAGGTTTTTAAATTCTTCTTAGGTCACATATCTCCAGTTTCAGAGAGTTGTGCCAGTGTCTTGTTTAAATTGTATAAGAATTATGTGTGTGTGTGTGTGGATAAACATTAAAAAGGACTATAAATAAATGAAGTGCAATTAGCCAGAGCAGGGGTATATGGGTGAATTTTTTTTTCTTTTATTAAGAGTTTCCTTAATGTTCTTATTCTAGGCAGCTGACCGGTGATTTTGGGAACGACTTTTGAGATAGTCTCTGTAAGCATCAATGAAAATTGTATCAGAGGCTGAGAAGGGAGGTTGGTGCTATTCTTGCTTCAGTGAAATTGGTTAAATTCATATTATCACTCTTGTTTATTCATACAATTAAATTACTCTCTTGATCACTTTTTTATCTTAGATTTTTAAAAATTTGTAATGTAAGGTATTTGTGTTTCAGGTTTCTGCTTCATACTGACTTCTATAAAACCTTTGCGTACGGTGCTGACACTTTCGTTTCTGATTCTGCACTGGTAGGAGGGTCTTGTTCTGTGCTCTACTCTAGAGATCAGAAACTTGCTCTGTGTAAACTTCATCTCCTCAGGGACTGAAACCGGATTCTGAGTGTTTAAGGCAAATAGCCCTATTTAATGGAAACTGATAAGTGTTTGCTGAGCTATAATAATTACTACTGTTTATTAGGCACACAGCTGTGCGCTTTACACATTTAATCCAGTGAGTACCGCATTCCCATCTTAGAGAGGTTTGGGGTCCAGAGAGGCTAAGAAGCACTGAGGGCAGGTGGGCCAGAGCTGTGGGCCCCTCCTGACTGTGTGCCCTCGCGGGGCTGTGTGCGGGGCTGCCCGACCTCACACTCTTTACCTGGTCTGGAGTTCCTTCTTCCCCAGAGCACTGAGCACACGTCTGCCCACTTTATTTCACTGCAGCATGCTGATTGATTTATCTGTTCCCTGTTCTCTTCTAGTTTATAATCCTTTCAGAGAAAGCACTTTGTCATCATTTTGGTTTTTCCTCCTTTTTTGAAAATTGCTTACTGCAATTAGTTCTGGCCTATTATATATTGGGTTTTTTCCTAACTTGCTTGAGCTATAACCCTCAAATAATTCTCAAATTCTCCAATTAGTCATTACCGATTTAAATAAAATGGCAGAGTTTGCACACCCAGATTAATTTGTTTTCTTCAAAATAATCATCTAGGGAAGTAACATACTTGTCCTAAAAATGCTGCTATTTGATCAGAGCCAACTGAAGTATGTTTATATTCCTCAGAATTTATACTTTTTTGAATATACTCTATGGTAATAAGACAATCAAAGTTTTAACACGTTTCTGTATAATTTTTCAGGTAGATAATACTCAGTTTTGTGAGCTCTAGATGTTTTTTTAAGTTATTTATAATAACATTAAATATCAGTATACTTCAACAGTGCTGAACTGTGGGATTAAAGCTATGTTTCCATCTTCCTCTTCTTTTTTTAATAAGGACTTTATTTTCTTTGGAGCATTTTTAGGTTCACCGCAGAATTGAAAGGACAGTGCAGAGATTTCCCATGTACCCCCTTGTCCCCGACATGCATACAGCCTCCCCCATTATCCACATCCCCCACTAGATGGTACATTTGTTACAGTGGATGGACCTGCATGGACACATCCTCACCGAAAGTTCATAGTTTACAGTACAGTTCATTGATAGTGTTGTGCCTTCTGTGGTTTGGAGGAATGTATAATGACATGTATCCATCATTATAGCATCATATATGGTGTCTTCAGGCCCTGCAAGCCCTCTGTGCTCTGCCTGCTCATCCCTCCCCCCCCCCGCCCACTCCTTCACCAGCCCCTGCGACCACTGATCTCTTTACTGTCTCTGTAGTTTTGCCTTTTTCAGAATGTCACATGGCTAGAAACTTAAAGGATGTAGCCTTTCAGACTGACTTCTCTCACTCCGGAATATGCATTTAGGGTTCCTCCTTGTGTTTGCATGGCTAGATACCTCATTTCTTTTTAGCACTGAATACTCTTCCATGTATGTACTGGTTTTTTAATCCATTCATCTTGGTTGCTTCCAAGTTTTGGCAATTATGAATAAAACTTCTGTAAACATCTGTGTGCAAGTTTCTGTGTAGATAGACATAAGATTCCAGCTCATCCTGAGTATACGCCAAGGAGCCCAATTGTGATTGTATGGAGTAAGAGTATATTCAGTTGTGTAGGAAACCACCAAACCGTCTTCCAGAGTGGCTGTGCCATTTTGCGTTCCCACCCATGTGCACTGAGAGTTCCTGTTGCTCCACATCGTTCAGCAGCTTTTGTTGTTGTCACTGCTGTGGGTTTTAGCCACCGTAGTAGGTGTGCAGTGGTGTTGCCTTGTTTTAACTTGCAGTTCCCTAATGGCATACGATGTGGAGCATCTTTTCATAGGCTTCATTGCCTTCTGTATCTTCTTTGGTGAGGTGTCTGTTCAGATCTTTTGCCCTTTTTTAAAAAAATTTATTTTATTTATGTTCGGCTGTGTTGGGTCTTCGTTGCTGTGCGGGGGCTTTCTCTAGTTGTGGCGAGCGGGGGCTACTCTTCGTTGTGGTGCGCAGGCTTCTCATTGCGGTGGCTTCTCTTGTGGAGCATGGGCTCTAGGTGCGTGGGCTTCAGGAGTTGTGGCACGTGGGCTCAGTAGTTGTTTGCTCATTTTTTAATTGGGTTGTTTTCATATTTTTGAGTTTTAAGGGTTTTTTGTGTATTTTGATTAACAGTCCTTTGTTTTTATTTCGTTTGTAAATATGTTCTCCCAGTCTGTGGCTTGTCTTCTCACTCTTTTGACAATGTCTTTCACAGAGCAGAAGTTTTTAATATTGATGAAACCAACTTATTAATTCTCTTTCATGGTTGTGCCCTTGGTGTTGTATCTAAAAAGTCATTGCCAAACCCAGGGTCACCTGGATTTTCTCCTATGTTATCTTCTAGGAGTTATTATAGTTTTGAGTTTTACACGTAGGTCTGTAATCAGTTGTGAGGTAATATTTGTGAAGGGCGTAAGGTTGTTTGTTTGCCTGTGGGTGTCCAGTTATTCCAGCACCACTCGTTGCTAAGAAGACTGTCCTTTCTCCATTGAATTGCCTTTGCTCCTTTGTTAAATGTTAGTTGACTCTATTTCTGGGCTCTGTTCTGTTCGGTTGATTTGTTTGCTCTACTTTCATTAGTATCACACTAGCTTGATTACTGTGGTTTCTCGTAAGTCTTGAAGTCAGGTAGTATCATTCCTCCAACTTAGCCCTCCTCCTTCAACACTGTGTTAGCTGTTTCCATCTCGTTTTGAGCAAAACAGTGTAAAGTGGTGTAAGTACAGAAAAGTAAATATTCGAATTGGATTACTATCTTATGCTTAGAAGATGCTCAATAAATATTGTGTTTGAAATATTGGTATTTACTCAACAGAAATTCTTGTTTACTGGTTTGAAGAAGAGATAGAAGTTGGGAGTGACTTGCTGCCACGTTCCTGTGAGCATGCTGCGAAATGCCATTTCCTTATATTTACTGAAAGTTCAGAACATTATTTCACATTGTTTACAGAGTCTAAATGTCAAGATAAAAGCAAAACCATATATGAATATAACAAATGGTATTTTTAGTGAAGTAAATCTTATTACCTATACTTTTCAATTCTTCCTTTCTTATTTATGTTGACATTTTTATAATCAGGGCTCTCATGTTGGGTAATTGATGTTCAGACTTTAAGATTGTGCCAAACTTGTAGAATTTGCAGGAGCATTTCTTTTTGAAGTATAAGATTAGTAAATAATCTTTTTTTCTTTTCGGCAAATTTTATAATGGATTAAAATTAGAGTAAGAGGACTAATGTTTAATCTTTTAGAAGGCTGTTTGTGAAACATTGTTAATGCAATGGAAAGGAGTTATTTAGTACCACATGACGCATGATTAGGTTTACATGTGAGGCCAGAGACGTTTCTCTGTGTCCGCTGATCTTTCCCCAGCACCTAGTACGTTGCCTTTTGCACAACAAAACTTGAGGAATGAAGAAAACTCCGTGTGGTTAGAGTATGTAGACAGTGACCTTATATACACCGTTTTACCTCTTCATGCAAATATGAATTCCCCAATGTACTTACATTCTTTGTTACAGTTGGTGGCCAAAGGAATAAAGAACTCTGATATGCCTCCACCTTCAGGACAGCAGGAAACAGGTGGCTCTCCATCAAAGCAACAGATGAGACCTGTTATTTCTGTGACTTCTGCTTTGAAAGAAGTGGGTATGGTAAGTTTTGTAAAATCTAGAACTCCTCAAAGTCAAAAGGTTATTAAAAGGATTAAGTTTAATGAAATTACATTAATTCCTAATGTCCCATTAGGTTTTTCTAGGGAAAAAATTACTTCTTAAGATTTTCACGTGTGGTTTACTCTGAATCTTGGAGCCTCACTGGTCTTAGGTTTCTATATCTAAGACCACCTGGTAGGTAAGAATATATTGAAATGATTCTCTTTTTTACTTTAAAAGACTATTGGACCAAAAAAACATATAGAAATGTATGAAAAACAATGCAGAAAACGTTTTTATACCCTAGCACTCACAATTAGCCAAGGTTCACTTTTTAAACAAATAATGTCTCTCTGGTACTTAATTAACTCTGGGAATAGTGTCCAGGACGTGTACATGTATTTAAAACTTTTTGGCATAGCAAATGTTAGAGGACTCAGCATAATTGCACTTAATTCATCAATTATTTCTTTAACCTTCTACTTTTGAATCTCTGTCATGTCATATGGATAGTAAAACAGAGAACTGTGGGCAAGTAACAAGTTTAAACTTGGAAGTATGTTTTGGGCATCTCTCTGAAATGTGAAAAACTCTGTTCTGAGTTTCAGGGAAAGGGGCTCATGGTGTAGAATTTCAGCCTAGAGCTCCGTAGGCAGAGGGGAGAGTCTGAGTCATATTACACATTACCCTGATTCTGTCCTTTCCTGGTCCTTGAAGTCTGCGCCTTTTATTTGTTGAATTTCACGAAATTTTTGCAGACAGCACTGACGTTATTGGCACACCAGTCTTTTACAGCCTTTGTGTTTATCTTGAAAATAAGATTGAGTGGGAAATACCAGCCTTGGTCACCCTCAAGGACTTGATATAGGAAGCCACTGTTGCTCAAGCAGGTGTAGTCTCTCTTCTCTCTGGTAACGAGCGTGTGCTGCGTTGTTCACTCCAACTTCAGATGCCCCTGTGCGGGCCCTTCCTGGTCCTCAATCTCACATCCCACGTAGCTGCTCACCTCTCTGGTCGTAGCGACTGCTAATGCCTGCCACTTTACTGGGTAAAATGCTCTTTGTCTGTTTTACATGTATTACTTTAAAACTGACCACTATTTAATAATACTTGAGGTAATCCATGTAACTAAATGGTTTTTCTTTATGTGTCTTCTTGCTAAATATCGCTTCCTTAAAACTTTGAGAACCGCTTTTCCTTGCCCTGAGTCTTCCAGATACCTTTGCTTTCGCAGTTTTCATAACTAGTAATTTCTTCTTTTCATATATTTACCAATTCTAGATCATCTAGATTACTCTGATTATACTAATCATAAAACAAAATTTATTTTATCTTTAGTACCAAGGACTCAGAACTCTTTATTTTTACTCTTTGCTTAGGGAGAAAAGCCAGTTCTCAATTATGTTTAGCAAGTAGTATGGCTTAATAAGAATATATGTACCTGAAACATAATGACAGCTTCAAAATAACACAGCCTGTCTTGAATTATTCATCCATCAAAACTTCCCTAACTCTGAGTATATGAATTAATTTTTAAAATTTCTACAGTAAATGTAAAATTACCAAGAATCAGGTGCCAAAGAGGAAGAGAATATAGTTAAATATGTGATCAAGCAATCCAAAAATATGACAAATAATTGAGAATTGGCTCTTCTAGTATATATTACCTCTATTAAATGATAATATGTAACTATTTCTCATTGCTGATAATGAAGAAAGCTGTGTTAACATTTTACAGGAATAAAAAGATTCACAAGGAGCATGAAATGTTAATGAAAACAAAAAGTAAAAATATCAAAAATTTTAAGGTGGACTTTTAAAATAACATTTTTTCTTACTCTGTCACTATCTGTGTTTAAAGGACAGAAGTTTGACTGATGCCCAAGAAACCTCAGAAGAAATGCAAAAGACTAACAGTGCTATTTCGGTAGGTGCAATTTTCAAATTTTCTCTCTCAATCATTTTACTTAATCGTATACCTATTAAAATACAACATTTTAACTGTTTCAGAGTAAGCGTGAAATACTACGTAGATTAAATCAAAATCTTAAAGCTCAAGAAGATGAAAATGGAAAGCAGAGTCACTCTGAAATGGGTGAAATAATTGTTCACGAAGACGCCAAAGAGCAGGAAAAAGAAAAATCGGTTTCATCGGATCGCAAGAAATGGGAGGCTGGAGGCCACCTGGTGATTCCTGTGGATGAATTGGCGCTGGACACGTCCTTCTCTGTGACTGAAAGTGCGTATGAGCATGCTCATGTCCTGATTGGTGCGGCCCGGCACGCTTAGAGGGGCTGAGAGAGGCTGGAAGGGTTTCTGAAACGTGGAGAAGACGATTCAGCTTTCACATGGCAAGGGTTTTCCACAACAGTCTGTAGTGTGAGAGCGGGAACTCACGGCGCACGTTTAGATTGTGTTACTGTACTTTAGGCCTTTCTCCCACGTTAGAGTCACCTGTTAGCAGGGGTAGTTCTTGGTGAGAATCAGAGTAGTGAACTTCAGCAAAGACTCAGAAGGTCCTGTCGGCATTGAGCAGGGGTGTCGAGAGGGTCTCACGCAGTGATCCCTTTGCGCAGTGATGATTCCTGAGCCCCTGCCCTTTTCTCGCATTGTTCCTGGCGCTGGAGGTGCAGCAGGGAACCAACAGACACATGTGCTCGTAGGGGGCTCACTTTCTAAAGGGCCGATCTGTCCAAGCTAAGTAAGTACAGTTCTACGTGTTTTCTGATGGACCGCTTTGGTAGAATTCTTTCTTGTGTTGGAGAAAAGTCCACAGGCTCCACAGCAAGCAGTTCTGTATTGAGTCCCACTACCTGCCACACACACTCCTGAGCAGTGAGGACACCACAGTGGTTGAGACGGACCCCCTCCCTGAGAGCAGAGTGCGTGTCAGGGCATTGGTCAGTCGCCAGGAGGTGGTTTCTGGATGGCGTGGCGTGCTGAGGGCTGAGACGCTTGAGATGCCATGAGCCCAGGACGCAGGGGAGAGCCTGGGACCCTGGGGAGCCGATGCAGCTAGCGCGGACCTGAAGGTGAGAATCCCCGAAGCCTCCGGTGAGCGGGCCCAGAGCACGGAGAAGCCGCAGCTGGAGCGGACCGTGCCTGCAGAGGGCTGTGTCCGCAGCCAGGTAGGAAATAGCTTAGGCTTTGCAGGCCGCGGGGACTGTGCTGCCGCTTCTCCACTCCGACACCGCTGCGCAGGAGCAGCAGCAGGCACTGTGCAGAGGCACTCGTCAGGCCGTGTTTCCAGGATGGTGTTTTTTTAGGGACACTGACATTGTGATTCCATAAAATTGGCTTTATAGCTTCTTTCTTCTCTCCAACTTCCTCTTTCTCCTTTGCTGTCTAGAGTGCTCATGATTGCTTCCTGGGGTGTTTTTATAACAACTGTCTTAGAATCCTTGTTAGATCACTCTCGCATCTGTGTTACATTGCTGTCGGCTGCTAGTAGCCACCTCCCGAGAGAGTTAGGATTTTCCTGGTTCTTCTGCTGAGTAATTTTGACTTATACCCTAGACATTCTGAATATTCTCTTACAAGGCTCTGGGTCTTGTTTACATCTGATGGAGAACATTGATAGTTTTGCAGTTGGCCCAGTTAGAGTCAGGTCCTGAGTTCCCATCTGCCTTCTGTGGCCTGTGCTTTCAGTATCGGCTCCTTTTTCAGAGCCCGGCAGTGCTGCTTTGACCTGTCCAGCTGTGTACCACGTGGTGACTGGTCTGGGACCTGGGTGTTCCTCAGTCTGCTGGCTCAGTTTTCAGTCTTTGATACACAACACAGGATCAGATCCACGTGTGCACAGGAGGTGAGCTCAGGTAATAGCAGTCAACTTCAGGAGGTTGCCTTCTGGAGTTCCTTTGTCTGCACTGTCTCCCCGGTGTTTTCTGTCTCTGGTCCTCTGGTCAGAAAGCTGAGGCTCTGGTTACCTCACTCTGCCCTGTGCTTGGAACAGGGTGGCCAAGAGCCGGAGGAAACAGCCCTGCTGTCTGGGTACCACGTCTCCACCAAACAGGACAGAAGCATCCTCTCCCCAGCTTTACGGGCTCTGGGTTCTGATTACCCGTGGCAGCGCATGGGGGCTGGAAAGGAGGCAGCGGAGGGAAGAGCGAGAGATCTCACCCTCTCTCTCTCTCCAGGCGTCAGGGTTCCCCGGCGTGGCCCTTGAGACAGAGTGGAAGGCCCCTCCTAGAGCTTCCTCTGTCCTCAGCCCAGGGCCCTCCCGTGGGTTCCTGACTGGGGAAAACGGGAGGGGATGGAGTGTACCGCGTGCTGGGGGCGCTTTGAGGTTCTGTCTTCTTCGCCCCTCCAGCTGCTGGCTGCTGCTCAGCGTCCTGTGCAGCTGCTCCTGTGCGGGTCCTGGTCCTGAGAACTGTGTCAGTGGGGGCACAGCTGACGCATGCTTAGTACTCCGTCTTCCCAGGAGTCAGAACTCCCATTATCCTTTAGACGTGTAAATACTAAGAAAAAAAGCGTTTATTGTACTTATCCATGTAGTTACCGTTTCTGCTGTTCTTAATTTCTTTGTTTAGATTTATGTATCCATGGTATCACCTTCCTTCTTTTAACATTGCTTGCAATGCAGGTGATAGATTCTTTCAACTTTTGTATATTGAAGAGTATTTTTACTTAATTTTATACCTTATTTTAAAATTAATATAGATTTAATTATATTATTTTATAAGGTATAATTTAAATTTTTCAAATTTAAAAATTGTATACCTTAACTTTTAAAAGATGTCTTCTCTGGGTATAGAGTTCTAGGTTGGCAGTGTCATTTTTGAGTGCTTTAACGATGTTTCTCTGTCGTCCTTTTAATCGCGTTGGTCCCGACAAGAAATCAGATTTATCTTTGTTTCTCTCTCCATAACATGCTGTTGTTCTCTGACTGCTTTTAAGGCTTGTGTTTATCACTGGTTTTGAGCCGTTTGACTGTGAAGTACCTTTACCACAGTTTTCTTCATGTTTCTTTTCCTTGGGCTTCACTGAGCATCTTGGGTCTGTGGTTTATCATTTTCATCAGATTGGAAACGTCTTTTCCAATATTTCTTCAGGTATTTTCCTGTGCTGCCTCCCGGTCCTCTGGGGGCTGCAGCCTCACGTGTATCAAGTTGTCCCATAGTTCACTGATGTGCTTTTCATTGTTTACGATTCTGTTGTTTCCTGTGCCTTTCATTCTGGATAGTTTCAAATTCACTTGTTTTTTTCTGCATTGCCTAATCTAGTATTAATCCCATCCAATGTATTTTTCATCTCAGATATTGTGGGTTTCGTCTCTAGAAGTTCGATTTGGGTTTAAGTATCTGCCATGTCTGTACTAAACGTTTTGATCATATGGAATACAGTTATAAAAACTTTATTAGTGTGCTTGTGTGAGAATACTAATGTCTGTCTCCATTCTGAGTCCATTTTCATTGATTAATTTTTCTCCTTATTGTGCGTCATATTCTTCTGCTTCTTTGCGTGATTGGCAATTTTTGATTGGATGCCAGACATTGTGAATTTTACCTTGATGGGTGCTAGGTTTTTTTGTGTTTCTGTAATTATTCTGGAGCTTTGTTCTGGAATGCAGTTAAGTTAGTTGGCCTCAGTTTGATTCGTTTGTGTCTGTTTTTAAGATTTGTTAGGTGAGATCAGGGCCGCATTTAACTTGAGTGCAAATTCTTCCTAGCACAGAGGGAAAGCCCTTCTGAGTGTCCAGTCACCACGAATTATGATATTTTCCAGTCTGGCTGCTGGGAACAAGCAGTGTTTCACGTCCTGTATTCCCTGTAGTCTCTCGGGTGGTTCTTTTCCTACCTGAGGTCGTTTCTTCACACATTGCTCCCTTCAGTGCTCTGCTGAATACTCAAGCTACCTTCTGGAAGTCTCTGGACTTCTTTTTCTTCTGCCTTAGTCTCCCAAGGGTCAGTCCCAGCTCTGTCGCCAGAACTCAGGGAATCTGCTGGGCTCTGCCTGGGTCCCCCTCCTGAGCTGCAGCTGGAAACTCCCAAGGCAGCAGGAGGGGCCGTCACAGGAGTTGTCTTGTTTGCTTCTCTTCTCCCAGGATCCATGTTCTTACCTCTTCTTATCTTACTTCTTGTCCATTGTCTTGAGACGGTGTTTTATATATTTTGTCCAGTTGTTTTGGTTATCCAGGCAATAGCATAACTCTGGTCACCCTGTTCTATCTTACTGAGAGTGGACGTACTTGAGACCAGTTTTTAGAGGCTGTTGCACTCACCTAGACAGAAACTGAAGACCTTAACTGAGAGATAATAAAAGCGGACATGTGTAAGAGATTCTCGAGGACAGACTTGTGAGGGCTTCACGGGAAACTATTCTACAAGTTTGTCAGGGCAAAAGCTTTGATGAGCAGATGAGGAAGCATCAGAATTAGGAAAACTGAGCGTGTGCTATGGATTTACAAGAAAAAGAGACAGCAGCAAGACAAGGGCTAGAATATCTGCACTGAGTTTGTCGGTAGAGGCATGGTGACCTTGATGAAAGCAGCGTTGCTACAGGGCTGGGGGCAGAAACCGAATCCAGGGATTAAGGAGCGCAGGAAGGAGGAGCCTCTTCCAGAAGCTAAGCTGTGAGGAGAAGAGAGACGAGGGTGGTGCCGGGTGGTGGAACCTTACAGAACAGAGCTTTGAGGATAAAAGTGCATCCCCGCACCCATTTTAGTACCTGTCTGACCTCGGTCGCAGTGCACATTGGAACCCAGCGTCCCTTCCGGTGCCTGCGCCGGCGCCCCGTGGCCCCCCTGCCTCTCGCTCTGTCCCTTCTGCCTTTGTGAGGCTCCCTTCCCGCCGCTGGCGCCCAGCCACTCTTTGTACTTCACAGCCCTCCTCCCCTCTCCTCTTTCCCAGGCCCTTTGCACGGCGGCCTCCTTTTCTTCATTCGGACCCTGTTGTTCCACTGCCCCCATTTCTGAAGCCCTCCTTGTAGCAGAGCTCTTCACAGTATTGTCTGTGTACAGCCGGGTGCTGGCTCCACACTTTTCCCCCACCCGCTTCACCCCGTTTCCCACCCACCCCCTTTAGATTGCTTTGGCACCTTTATCCAACACCACGTGGCTGTAAGTTATGGGTTGGTTCTGGGTTCTTTACCCTTCTTAACTATCCTTTTAAAAATTGTTCCTTATTGGTAATCATTGTCCCTGAACAAAACTGAAATTACCTGCTAATCTGCAGATATTTACTTTCATGGACTAGTACACAAAAAATTGTATTAACATGTATTTGGTCACCTTTGAAAGTTTATATGACGTACACTGTATAATGATATCCTGTCTATTACTGCTAGGTGCCTATATGCTTCATGTATTATTATCAAATGTTCTAAAGACTCAAACTTCAGTAGGTCCTTTTCTGGCTTTTGCTTTGGCAAATTTTAGTAAAAAGGTTTACCCCAAATTATTATTGTCAAAAAGAAAGTGTCAGTTGCCTACGTACGATAAATAAGGTAAAAAAATTTTCTTAGAAATACTTTTCTCTACTTTTAATCCATATGCACATTTACTTTAGGATATTTTTTCTATTCTCTTCAGTGAAATTTATAGAAGCAAAATATTAATTTATATTTTATCTATTTTTGTACTCCCCCAAGTTATTCTTAATTATCTTAGGTTTTAAAAAAAATTTTTCTCAAATAAAAACTTTACAGAAACATAATTTATGTTTTTTCCATTTTTATATTCCCTAAAACTAGAGTTTAATTCATAAGTGTTTTTTATATTCCCTGAAACTAGAGTTTAATTCATAAGTGTTTTAAAAGGCAACTTTAGATGTATTTATTATTAGTAGTATTAGTTGCTTTTGGTTTTTTTTCCTATCATTTATTATTCATTCCCTGAAAGTCCTTTTTTTGGGTTTGGTTTTGTTTTTTTATGTTGATGACTATTTATTATTTTTTTAATTTAATTTTTATTTGATATTGGAATATAGTTGATTTACAATGTTCTGTTAGTTTCAGATGTACAGCAAAGTGAATCAGTTGTACATATGCGTATATCTGCTTTTTTTAAGATTCTTTTCCTATATGGGTCTTTACAGAGTATTGAGTAGAGTTCCCTGTGCTGTACTGCAGGCCCTTGTTGTTTACCTATTTTATATATAGTAGTGTGTTTATGTTACTCCCAAACTACTAATTTATCCCTCCCCCACCACCTTTCCCTTTTGGTAACCATAAGTTTGTTCTTGAAGTCTGTAAGTCTGTTTCTGTTTTGTAAATAAGTTCATTTGTACCATTGTTTTAGGTTCCACATGTAAGTGATATCATATGATATTTGTCTTTCTCTATCTGACTTCACTTAGTTTGATAATCTGTAGGTCCATTTTTAAGCACCATCGTTATATTTTTTGTGTGAAGTAACCTTTTTTTCCTGTGAAGCACTCAGTTGGATAGAAGATCTTAAATCTGCCTTAAGATATTTTTTTTTATCTTTTTCTTCTAGAACATACAGTGGGAGAGGTTATTAAATTAGATCCTGGCGGATCTCCAAGAAAAGTCTGGGGAAAAAGTCCTACAGATTCTGTTCTAAAGGTACTTGGAGAAGCTGAACTACAACTTCAGACAGAACTATTGGAAAATACAACTATTAGAAGTGGTAAGCAGAGAAACTAGTTGTTTTTCTATACTAGAAATAATATTAAAAATGGAATTGTATTTTTAAAGATGTTTTAAATGAATTGTTTGTAATAGACTACCTTTTGTTATAATAATTTCCTAGTTAGCTGGAGAATGATTGCATTTTCTGGGGAGTTGTCTCAAATGGTAGTCTTGAGTTTTGATCTGAAGTAACTTGGGTGGGGTCTAAAAATAAAGGAAGAGGAAATGTATATGAGAGAGGGGGAGCCGGAAAAATAGAGCAGTCAGAATGCTGTTTCACATGAAGAAAGATGGAGTAGCAGTGCATTGAGATGAGTGGTGTATGTTTAATGGGGATTCAGGAGTCGAGTGGACTGAAGGACTAAAAGATATTGTCGTAGGTACGGCAGGCGTTATCCTAGGCCTGGGGGGATGAGTTGTTGTGAGGCAAGAGGAACACGCTTGTGGTCCATGAGTGTGGTGGGTCTCAGTGTTACAGCTACACAAAGAGGAGAGTGCTCCTGTTATCAAACAAGTGTTTTAGGAGTTAACAGCTTATTCACACCAAGAGGGAGTCGAAGATGGAAGTTGTGTCAAGGCTTGAATGTGTGTGTATTTCACTTTTCTGTGGGTTTATGCTCACTCCCACCCTCACTTCCTTTTTATCTGCCTCTCCTTAAAGCTTGGAGTGAAACTTATATCCAAAACTGACAGAAGAATAACCTGGGAGGGGAAGCTACTCACACTGTGTAAAAAGGAATTAGCCAGATGCTGACAATTAGCTACGGAAATGAACCTACATACTTATTGCATAAGTAGCAAAAGTAGGTTGTTCTTTCCTTATTAAGAGTGAGCCTCCCAGCCACTAATCATTATAGCATTTTTTTAATATTAAAGGGAGAAAAACCAATTTGAACAAAGTATATAAAACCATTTGTTTGAAAAAAGGGCAAGTACATGAGTGTGTATATTTGTAATCAGTTTGTTCACACTCTTGGGTCTGGAAATTGTGCTGTTGATGCCAAATAACAATCACAACCAAAAATAGAATAGTAGTAACAAATTCCTACACCTCAATATGAGCCTTTTCTCAAATGCTTCCAGGCGTTATTTAGAAAGAAGTACCTCCAGGCTAAAACATTTCAAAAATAATAAAAATTTCAGATTATTTGGTAGTCTAAAAGTCCTAAATATGTTCAGTCCCATTAGAACTATTACATTTAAATTCAGATTCCTCTTATGTAAAATTTTTATTGCTTAAATAAATGTAATAATGGTAAGAGTTAGGCAGTGGGAAAGCAGGACTTTCCTTCTCCATAGAAATAGTCCATCTACATAGAATTGGAACTGAATTTTTTTTTTATGATTTTTCTTTTTAAAAAATCATATTTACCAACTATTGAATACTTATTAGCTGTGCATACTATTATGTGTTTGGTGGTAAAGCTACAAAGAGTAAAAGATGGTCGTTGCTCTCAGAAGGCAGACACAAATCATAACAAATAAAGGGTAATATTGCATGAAAAGGGCAAGAATAGAAGTACCCACAAAGTTAAGAGGTAGTGCAGAGATGTTTATGAAATTGACTTTATCTGTGAGAGTGGAAGGCTTCCAGGCGCTGTCATCTGCCGTCTGTAAAATTTTTCTTCTAACTACATTTACTTACAAGAATATGCTCTGTGCTGAGATTTTAAGACAAAGAAGTTGCACTTGTTAGCATCACGGAGATCACATGTGGCAGAGTGTGTGGCAGAGGTGTCGCCTATGAAACGGTGTGGGCCCACAGCTGAGGAGGCTCTGGGTTGTCAGCACTGTTCTGTGTCATTGATGGTGCTGGGCTTTCTGGGTCAGGGAAAGCCACAGAGAGAGCAGGTGCTTTTGAGCTGGGCCAAAGATACAAAAGAGCCCACTGGGTAGTTAGGGGAGAGGACGAAATTCTAGGCAATTTGCAAAGATGCAAAGGTTTCGTTAACGTGTGTGAGAGCCATCTTCATGTGGTGGAAAGAAAGTTTTGGTTTCATCACTTGCCAGCAACCATGGGGCAAATTCCTCTGACTTTGACTTCCAAGTGCTCGGTGTGTAGAGTGGAAACACTGCCATCCAGGACTGTTTTGTGGATTAAATGACAAACAGGATGGACTTGTGTTGTCTTTAGTCTTCCAATCCTTATGTCAATGTCTCTTTCATCATTTTGATTGTTGAAGCTCTTTTGTGATAGATTCCTTAGGAGGAGCTCATGTGAACAATGCAGCCAAAGATTTTGCATGTTCATAAGTTTGTGTGAAGACTTTCTTCTTGAAGGTAGGTTTGGCTAAATATAAATCCTTGACTTACATTTCCTTTCCTTGAGTGTCTTTAATGGATAACAGTGTTGTATTGTGACATAAGGCATAGCTGTCAGGAAGTCTGGTGACAATCTTACTTTCTTTTCCTTTTAAATGACTTGGTCTTTTTGTTTGGATACTCAAAGGGTATCTTTTTCCTTAAAATTCAACTTCTTAAAATATATTTTGTTGTTGGGTTTTTGTTTTTGTTTTTTTAGTACATGATTGGTTGGTTTCTTTTCATAGACTTTTGTTTTAGAGTATTTTGGGGTTCACAGCAAAATTCAGCAGCAAGTACAGAGAGTTCCCATATACCCCCTTCTTCCACACATGCAGAGCCTCCCTAACCATCACTCCCCACCAAGAGTGGTGCATGTGTCACAGTTGATGAATTGACACCGACACATTATTATCACCCTAATCCATAGTGTACCTTAGGGGTTTAGTCTTGCTGTTGTACTTTCTGTGGAGTTTGACAAATATTTACTGACCTTTATCCACCATTTCAGTATCATACAGAACAGTTTCCTGTCCTAAAAAATCCCTGTGTTCTACCTGACTATCCCTTCCTTCTCCCAACCTCCTAGCAACCATTGATCATTATACTGTCTCCATAGTTCTGCCTTTTCCAGAATGTCATATGGTTGGAATCAGACAGTGTGTAGCCTTTTCAGACTGACTTCTATCACTTAGCAGTATGCATTTAAGTTTTCTCCATGCCTTTTCCTGGCTTGACAGCTCATTTCTTTTTAGTGCCGAATAATATTCCATTGTATAGATATACCACAGTTTGTCAATAAAGGTTATTTAATAGGTTGTTCACCTATTGAATAATATCTTGGTTGTTTCCAGGTTTTGGCAATTATGAATAAAACTGCTGTAAACATCTGTGTTCAGGTTCCTGGGTAGACATAAGATTCCAACTCATCCTGAGTATATGCCAAGGAGCCCAATTGTGATTGTATGGAGTAAGAGTATATTTAGTTGTGTAAGAAACCACCAGACTGTCTTCCAAAGTGGCTGTGCCATTTTGCATTCCCACCCATGGGGACTGAGAGTTCCTGTTGCTCCACATCATTCAGCAGCATTTGTTGTTGTCACTGCTGTGGGTTTTAGCCACCATAGTAGGTGTGCAGTGGTGTTGCCTTGTTTTAATTTGCAGTTCCCTAATGGCATACGATGTGGAGCATCTTTTCATAGGCTTCATTGCCTTCTGTATCTTCTTTGGTGAGGTGGCTGTTCAGATCTTTGATGCATTTTTCAATTTGGTTTGTTTTTGTTTGGGTTTGATTTTTTAATTCTTTTTGGTAACTCTGTAAGGTGATGGATTTTTTTTAATATAAATTTATTTATGTACTTATTTATTTTTGGCTCCGTTGGGTCTTTGTTGCTGCACGCAGGCTTTCTCTTGTTGCGGCGAGTGGGGGCTACCCTTCATTGTGGTGGGTGGGCTTCTCATTGCGGTGGCTTCTCTTGTTGCAGAGCTTGGGCTCTAGGCATGTGGGCTTCAGTAGTTGTGGCTCACGGGCTCCAGAGTGCAGACTCAGCAGTTGTGGCGCACAGGTTTAGTTGCTCCGTGGCATGTGGCATCCTCCTGGACCATGGCTCAAACCTATGTCCCCTGCACTGGCAGGTGGATTCCCAACCACTGCACCACCAGGGACGTCCTGGGTTGTTTTCTTATTTTTGTTCTGAGAGTTTTTTATGTATTTTGGTTAACAGTCCTTTGTTTTTATTTCATTTGTAAATACGTTCTCCCAGTCTGCGGCTTGTCTTCTCATTCTTCTAACAGTGTCTTTCACAGAGCAAAAGTTTTTTAAGCTAAATGAAATTAGCTTATTAAATGTCTTTCATGGATTATTATGCCTTTGGTGTTGTATCTAAAACGTCATTGCCAAACCCAAGGTCACCTGGATTTTCTCCTATGTTATCTTCTAGGAGTTTTATAGTTTTGAGTTTTACATTTAGGTCTGTAATCAATTGTGAGTTAATATTTGTGATAAGTGTAAAGTTGTTTATTTGCCTGTGGATGTCCAGCTGTTTCAGCACCATTTGTTGCTAAGAAGACTGTCCTTTCTCCTTTGAATTGCCTTTGCTCCTTTGTTAAATGTTAGTTGACTGTACTTCTGGGCTCTCTGCTTGTTCCATTGATTTGTTTGCTGTTCTTTCATTAGTATCACACTATCTTGATTACTGTAGCTTTTAGTAAGTCTTGAAGTTGGGAAGTGTTACTTCTCCAGCTTTGTTTTTCTCCTTCCATGCTTGTTGACTAATCTGGATCTTTGCATCTTTATGTAAACTTCAGAATCAGTTTGTCGATATCCACATAATAACTTGCTGGGATTTTAATTGGAATTGCATTGAATCCATGTATCAAGTCAGGAAGAACTGGCATCTTGACAGTATTGAGTCTTCCTATCCGTGAACATGGAATATGTCTTCATTTGCTTAGTTATTCTTTGATCTTTTTCATTAGAGTTTTGTAGTTTCTTCATCATGGTGTGTTTTTTAATATGCAGTTTCCAGTCTTTTTTAGGAAAGTATTCTTGAATTATAGTTTTTTGAGTTCTTTATTCTGTTCCTTAAGTCTACTTCAGGGACTTCTAGGTATATTTTGGATTTTTTTTTTTTTTTTTTTTTTTTTTTTTCC